CTCAATAAAAAAAATCCATTTTAGTATTGCAACAGGACTCTTCGTGTCTCACTTTTCGTTTCTGCGACTAATTGAATACAATTGGCGTGAAATAAAAACATTATCGAATGTTTTATTGAGTCGACACTGGCAATCGCTGGCTTTGCGTGACTGGCAACACTGAAAGGTTTTTCGTCAATGAAATTACGGACACGCAGTTACGCAACCCGATGACCGACTGACGTGACGAAGAGAAATAGGTCTCGATAGTTCAAAATGTATAACTGTTTTAGTTTTAAAAGATAATATGCAATATTTTTTGAGACTTTTCTGAGATAAAAGGACACTTGTGGACTTTACCAGTTCCCAAAGCTGTGTGTAACTTCACCAGAGGTATTAATTAGACTTCGGTTAGTAGACTTAGGTTAAGTTTAATTTGACATATTTAATTAATAATTTGACATATTATCCCGAATAAAATGAGTTCGTTAACCTTATGTCAGCTTAACTAACACTAAACTTACAGTGGTGAAATAGGCCTTAAACTGTCAAACACCGCGAGGAGACCGGTGACCGCATTCTATTGTTCTTTAATTGTTTCTATAATGACGGTACTCAAAATATTTTTTAGTTTATTGTTAGTACCTAAGTTTTATTAACGAACTTATATTAAACACTGCTAACAAAAAAAAAAATAATTTAATAGGTACTCGAAATAAATAATAAAAACATTTCAAATTGAATTTGGAATGTACACACCTAACTGTAGACCGTACGGGTTTCAAATCGATTTTAATAAAGTTTAATTTAATTAAATTACTCGAGTACAAAAACGAGTTGATTTCTTTTTAAATGAGAATTTTTAGTAGCGGTTATCGGATCGTCATCACCAGTAAAAAAAAATTTACAACGCCAATTATACGATCATACAGAACCGATCATTCTCGATGTTTGTGTAATTTTTAAGAAATTATCACCGGACCGCCTATGGTGTGCTCGTCATTATCATAATTTAAAATTTTTAAAATATACCACACAAAAATCGATGTGTCTTAAATTGAATTCGGGGAGCGCGCAAATAAGAAATGGAGGTGCGAAAATTGGACGAAGCACCGTTTAAAGTATCGTTAAGGCTTGTCCGACAGAAAATATTGTAATCGCAAGCGCACAGCCGATCAGTATAGTTTATGAGCTGCGGAAAGCGGCCGCCATTATTCCACTGGTTGATTTAGTTCATTATAGTGTACCGAGAATTCATGGCGAGATTTTGGCAGGGCGAGGCGCGAACAAAACGCCTTCTGGTGTGAACAATGAGATAGCCATCAATTTCATTATTTATATCTTCGTCTTCGATGCCGGCACTATTTTGCATACAACTTTTCACCTCACCGAGCACAAGACTGACAAACTCCAATAGATATAATACAGGAACTAGATATCAGTTAAGAAATATTTTCTAACGACCATTCGTTTACAGAATTTCTTACGACTAACAAGCTCTAATTTACATAACTGCTAAAATCATTTAACATGGCGCGGCAAACGATATACCATATTATAACGACCTGACGATGTCGTGATAACACAGAGGTACAGATGGCAGAAACTATAATGTTTATCTGCGAAAAATATAGAAGAAAGAAAACATTTCGAAAGAGAACAAGGGTAAAGAAAAGATAAATTAAAATAACGGCGCAGGATCGTGAGGGCAGCGCGGACGTGCGCGGGAGTATCTCACGCGATCGTCGCTGCCGCCTCGTCCTTCTGCCGATCATATCGCGCGCAGCACACTACGGGTCACTGTGTCGCCGACGGACATTTCGCATTCCATCATCACCTCCTCTAATCTTAATAATTTCGTCCAATATGTAGATAGCACTTACTTTCTATCAACCCCCGTCATTTCTCAACGGACAAAGAGATGCCGCTGCATTATTCTCAAGATATACCTTTCATATTTCAACACCGCCAAAGTGACAACCGTAAAAGGTACTATAGAAAATTGTTTACATAAGCCTCCACAGTGGCTCACTTAAAAACTTCTTTAGAAGCTATTAAGCGTGCATGAACAAAAATAAAAATTCAATAACACGGTTTTATATCACTTTTGTGCGTATAACACTACTATTATCTGCATCCAATGAAGCATATAATTATACGTAAGAAAAACTGTAATAAAGTAAGAAAACGTTAAGAGAAACCGTTCGCAAAATTTTAATGAGCTTACATAAATTATTTCAAAAAAAGTAACACCTCATTTTACAAATGACACGCAAGAGAGAAAACACATTTGAAAAATGTACGTAATAACATAAATAAAAAAGGAAACAGAAATGATGGCGGCGAAGATTCAAATAGTGCCGCTAATCAAAGGACGGTAGCTCAATCAAATGGCTGTAATAAATCTCCAAAAACCAGAAGATTCAATTACACGGCTACCGGAAGGCATGAAGAGTGGCATTAACAAATTGTCCAAGATAAATAAAACCTTTTTAATCTAAAGAAGAGGTCCCGAACTCGTTCCTCTTATCGGTAAACGCGGACTTTTTTGAGAATTTATTGAACGCTTAATGTATCGAGCAAGAATTAATTGGTCCCCTTGAGTGAAAGGTACGCCGCTTTTAAATTATAATGATCAGAAACACTTTGGAAACTGAAGATCATAAATTGATAAGACGCCTTGTAACATGGGACTGTACGGATTGATAGCATCAGAAGCTCCGATTAGATGAACAGGTGTCTACTTATATGGTCACCAAAATAAATCGGTTAACATCCATGCTTGCTGCTCTATTGATGACGAGAATATTTTAGATTTCAATATTGATTAGGTTGTCTATCCCAGTACGTTTCTGGTAGCTCAAAGTCTTACAAAGACTGAATTTATCAATGTTTACGTTTAGTCCATAAGACATAAAATAAATTAATATTGATTAATCTTGAGAAAAACTAACACGAACAACATGCCTTGCCTGTACTCACCGAAATAAGTAATGGAATGAGTCTTCTTTGTAATTGTTTTTCTTGGTGCTTTTGGTAGGGACTCAACTGACAATGGGTATGAGACAAAGGTAGTTAAGTTCTGGAAGCCTATTACATTATAGATACCCCTACCGCCTACGACATCATAGATAAAAAAACTAAATCACCTGTCACTAGAAACTAGCAGTTACACAAACCCTCTTTAAACTTAGAATTGAAAAAGATATCCCACTTTGTGATACTTTTATTGCATGCGATATGAATCAAGAAGATATATTTTTGGATAACTAGGCGACAGAAAATGCTTATCAACATTTTGAAGCCTACCCACACGTCTCAAATAATACCTTCACGTCTGTCGAAACTAGACTTCAGTACAATGATGAATACTAAATTCAGAGCCTAATATGTTCACATCTTGTAAATATGTAACAGATGCTGCAACAAATATTTATGTAAGTGAAAGAGAGAGAGGAATCGTTGATCTACCTAATGGTTATGGACTGAGACTTAAGGAGTTTAGGCACACTGAGATTTTTTCCCTTATCATGGGTGCATATACCTACATACTTCACACCCGGCCCATTTCAGAATACCGATCCAATTCATCGAGCTAATTAAACGCAATTATTTTAACGGGAGTTAATTAAAAGGGAATAGTTTTGCCAGTCACACTAAGCCCTCAGGATTCTGATATCTATCGGATTCATCCGAGACTCACACATACCAACACGCCGCAAGATGGCGCGTCTGTCACCTCCAAATCCAAACCATCGCCGGCGCAACCATGATCTGGGATTCTGGGCCATTTCGCGCACAACCAAAATTTCACACACCGTTATTATCAACCTTATGTGTATCGAAATTAAGGTCGATTTTGTTTCTATTGCTGATATTATTAAGCTGGTATCAAATTTACGGTGAGCCCTATTTGGTCGTAGATCTCAGTTAGGATGTGAAGTGACATGATACTTCTATCGATGCCGAAGTGGTTTTTGTATTTGATAGTTGTTGTAAAGTTTTTTTCAGTATAAATAAGTAATAGAAGCACATCGAAAGACAATGATCAAAATAGTCCCAACTGAGACATACTAAAATAACTAAAAATCGCAGGTTAGTAGGCTGCGCGACATTGCCGCGACCATGCACGCTGCTCATGAGGAAGAAACCCTCTGTAGTTCGAAATTAGTATAGCTTCTCTTAGTATTTTCACGTGACTAACCCGTGATTTTTAGTTAAGAAAAGAGTTAATTCTAAGCTATGACTCCTATATTTTTTATTTGGCATTTTGCACGCCTTTGACGTAAATACCAGATAATATGCTGACAAATATAAATATACGAAATTAGTATAAAGGTATTAATCGTCTCGACAGGTCATTCCTAATCTCGTATAATAATAAAATCAGTATCAATTAACTTGCACATTAATAATGAAAATGTTCTAATTGAAATATTGCATGAATATGTAATTTTAATAGCGAAACCGCCATTTTAATCCGGATTAGTATATATTTGCGCAGGAGTGCCGTTTAATTGATCGCTATATCATCGCCTACTCATCTTTGCAGACGTGTTACCATTAATCTAATTTGCCTTTTCGAAAAAAATCTTTATTAAAATGAAATGTTAACTTATTTTAATTTCTATTTCTTTGACACATCTATTAATTTTTGTTCCCATTTAGTGCAGTAAGAATACGCTCACATTTTATGCACAAAGCGATTGCCAGCCGTAAGTTGTCCGAATAAAGATTAATTCAGTTTTTTATGTTATTTTAAACTTTTATTTTTTTTTCATCTAACTGTAAGCCGAATTGTTATTCTATTTTTTGTTGAATAACAGTGATTAAGAATTTATGTGCGAGTCATCCCATAGTATTATAACGTGCGTACCTACATGAAGTACAGGTTACAAGTAACGGTCCACGGCACGTTTATTCCGTCTCATCTTCAGGCACGACATGACGAGAATATTCGGTGCTCGCTCACAGATATAAATTTATTTTCGTCACAGATACCTATGTACGTGCGAGTCTCATACAGTTTGCAGAAATATTCAACATTATTAACTATGATAAATCCTTGTTTTCCACTGGGAACGACACAATAATTTACAACGCAATGATAACGGCACACGTTTAAAGATAAAACCGATTCCTCGCGAGATTAGTGTGATAAAAACTGCGGCAGTAGTGGACGTTATAACAGACTACATTTATAATTAGAAATTATGTTCCAGTGCACAGCGATGTTTGTGTTTATTCTTAGCATTGCTGGACTCATTCCTAATGGTAAGCTACCATTTTGAAAATTCGTGTTTAAATAAACAAAATGTAATGATTTGTTAACCTATTGTGTGTACAAGTTGACATACAATCGTGTATAAATAAAACAATGTGTTTCGTTACATCATGAGGTTTTAAATTCTCGCTCGCTCCCGCGCGCACACAATGGCTTGCTGAATACCGACTCATCTTGCCTCCGGATAAATATTTATTTATTCTGTTGACAATAGTATTTACATTGTCAATGCGTCTAGTAATGTCGCCATGGAGCGCGTGGGTAGAGGATTTTATGTTGATGATCGCTAGTTATGAATTTAGGTCAGTGCTGTGTTGTGACTTAGATAGTGAAGATAGCGAATAGGAATGGCGTGTCGTCTAGCAATGTCTAGTGGATTCTTTCAAGTGATTTCCATAAAGTGGATAATAAGTGTATCAGTGACTTGCAATTTACCTGTCTCCTTTGTATGATTTCGGTACGTGATAATCTATAAAACTTCCTTAGCTATTAAATTAACTGAATTTTCGTTTCAAGTAGGTACTTTGGTCTCTTTGTGAAGCATATGTAATAAGCTGTTAACTGGAATACTTATCATATCGTTTCTAGGTGAGTACTTAAGTAAAGGACGTTACTCTGATTGTGTTTTTCAATATCTTTGTTGCACGTTTTTCTTCAAAGGAAAAAGCCACCCAAGTTCTTCCAACTTCAACGAAATCGTTATCCTACGAGTTTAAACTGTCAAACACCAAGCGGTCACCGGTGACCGCAACCTATTGTTCTATAATTGTGTCTACAAAACCGGTACTCGACGAGTTAATCTTTTCACAAAATGACAAATTGTTGACATAAGTACACTGGATACCTAGTCCTAGGCCCTGCCTCACAATTTAGGTCTGTCACCAAACTGACGACACAATATAGAAAGAAAGAAAGAAAAGAAAGAAAACCCATTTATTTTGCTACGACACACAACAAGAATTTAGAAACAAAAAAAAGCCTATGGTGCGTCGCGGCGCAAAAGGCTGGAGCTCAGCTTAATACCGTGGACCGGGCACAGAGAATATCGTATTGAGGCAAAAACTGGTCCCCAGAAAAAGTACATAGGTACCTAATGGGTCTAACACCGTATAGAATTACAATAAAGACACGGAACGCCACTAGCTGTGCACAATTATGTCAGGCGCCTATCAAGCACTTTCTCGGGCGCCAACCTAACGACAAGATACGGCGATCACAGTCCGATCTTACGCACCATCGCTTTATACTTAGTAGTTAGACTAGATAGGTACCGTTTCTTAGAACTTATTTTTAAGTAGTAAATATAAAAGCCTTGTGAACATAGTTTTATGTATTTTTTATGTGATAGCTGTTGTTTATTGGTTATTTATCATTATTTATGTCGGTCGAGAGTAGGTGCTGTTGCATTTAGGTCAATAGAATAAGCTTTAAGTTATGGAATGCGGTAAGGAGATGGATACCATGCTTTTCAAGCCGATCATGAGCATGATTGCATGACTTAACGCCTCCCAGATGTGTACGGGCGTGATATTAATATTGCGTACATTTTTAACACTAACATTTCCATTCATTCCGAAATTAGAGTATCATTGTTCGCTAAATCCATAAGCAAACTTCTAGATAAATCAAAAGATATCAGTCTATTTATATCGAATACAAAAAATAACAATACGAGGCGAGAGCTACCCACCATCGTTACACAATAACTGAACTCATTAACTGTGATAACATTATCTTTAATATCAGCTATTATAATTTAAAGAGCGAAACTAAACGGCGGCGAAATAATCATTCGTGCGGCATGCCTTGACGTGGAGTCCGTCGAGAGTGGATTCCCTGCTTTCAATAATTACGGAGCGTACGCGCCGATCGGATCGCGAGCGATGGACGGCCGGCAAAATAGCGCGAAACGCGAGAAAATGACATATGATTGCAGCGGTTAAAACAAACGTAAAGTGCCATGAGGAGTGGCATTAATGCTTGTTTACGCTGAATGGCGGGCGCGGGTGCGGGCGCGGTAGCGAAAAAAGGAAAGATATGACACGACATCCAAGTGTTATCGACTAACGACACGACGCGTCGTGTCGTACAAAGCGCTGGTCAGTGCTGTATAACTTGCATACAATCTATCGACTGGCGACTAAGATCAATGAATTTGAACTTATTGCTCGCGCAAACGCCTGACGGTTAACATGTACACAAACTCGCGACAGTTACCGCGCCCGCACCCGCGCCCGCGTGGTAACCGTGAACAAGCACTTAGGTACTTGTAGACCGACTCGTAATGGTGGGTCCGGTCAGCTAGATTCTGTACACTGCACCGTTCCGCTACACAACAATCACATTTGACACGGACGTGTATTGTGCAGATAATGCAGGGAAGCCTTCAATCATTAATTTCTCGTCTTTAGATCGCTAGTAGCTACTTCATATGTCAAGGATGAAGAACGCATTTTCCATGCAATTCGCTTACCTACGTTCAATTGTTGATCTCTTCGGAAAGAAGTATCGATTGAATAGAAAGATAATATTAGTTCACTAGATACAAAAAAATAGGTTATTTTTGTGATGTCCCTTCAACATTATTTAGGTAGGTACTCAACGTTGTTGTGCAAATCATGTATCCAAAAAAATACTTAACTGTTAACTTTCAAGTAGGAACGAAGTTATCTTTGTTAGTCACCCAAGTAAAAGCAACCAGATTGTGATTACTTGTAGGTAATCGAACAAAAAATCTTGATGACACAAACACATAGTATGAAGAAAACTGTTTCACATAAAAACTGCATATTTTAATCCAAAAATTAAACATGGCATGAATTTTGATTCAATTACACGGACGGATATCCAATTTGCATAAAAAATATTACGTTCGTCTGACTAAAGTATGTAGGTAGACAAAACTAATTAAGATCACCTACCGAGCAATGAGAAGAGAAAATAAACAAAGAAATATTGTTTAAATACGCTCAGAAATAAACAATGACAAAGGTCAATAATATAAATTTCTACCAAAGGTCTCAATCAAACTCCTAGCAGGGTTCCTTTCCAGGATAAAATATTATGATCGTTTAACGGTTAACCAAAGAATTTATTCGTACGTTTTTAATACAATTGTCGCCCAATCAAATAAATTGGTACCTAGTAAGGCATGCAGTTAAGGTTATCGATGTGGTAAACAAGACCGAAGATATTCCGTAACGGTTTCGTTTATAACAAATGTCATCAGGAAATAAAATCCGTATACGAAAGTTAATGTTCGAAGGTAGACTTGAAAATCCATAGGTACTTTGATACGTACTCGTACCTACGTATCTACATTTATATCGTTAAGTGCCTGGAATCAATAGTAATCAAGTATTTATTACATCCATAATGTACATATACAGGTGGTTAGAAAAATTAAATACAATAGTAACAAATACGAACACTGTCAGGCACAGCTAAATTTAAAATTGGAATGTGAAGAGCAATGAGCAGGTTTTCCTGGTTATGTAGACAAAACAATTAATTAATAATGAATTTATAATTTTTCATATAACCAAATGGCAACAATCTGGTTGCAGCACCCACTGAAGAAATTCGCCTCAACTCAGAAGTAAATATGAAGGTGCAAGAATAATAAGATCTTCCGATGTTTGATCCCCAAGTCACGTGTTCGACTGTCCGTCACAATCTGAATTTTATTTGCAGAACGCATTAAGTTGGATAACAGTTTATACAGCTAATAATCTCGCGTTGACTTACTAATTTATGTATTTAGATTATCACTTACCGTCTTTTTGGTATACTATTTTTCTTTTCGCCGGATCTGAACGTTTTTAAGACGACACACGTCACTAAACACACTCAAGAAGTAGGAAATTACCACTGATTTAGGTAAATAATATTTTTAGATGTTGAAAATGGTTTCACCGTTTGCGTTAATCAAATATTATCAGGGCGTACACCCGCGCGTATACGCCACTTCGTCAAACTGACAAACTAATAAAAAATGTTGAGGGTTGATGCAATTTCGTCTTATTATAAAGCAGAATAGGTAATTATGTCTACCCGCCAAACTTTTAATGAGTTTTTTTTTTTAATCCGGAACATTGCCTTTTAGGATGCGTTGCCTTACCTTATTAATTAAAATACAATAGGAGATAATTTGACAAACGGTGAAGGAAAACATCGTGAGAAAACCTGGGTTTATAATTTCTAATTATAAGTTTGAACTCACCAACCCGCATTGAGGAAGCGTGGTGATTAATGCTCAAACCTTATCCGTGTAAGAAGAGGCTTTGCTCAGCAGTGGGCATTTATATGCTGTTGATAATAATGATGAGAAGATAATTTAATTATATTTGCAAAACGTGAATTAAAAATTCATTACAACTTTTCTCAGCCTTTAAATATCTGAGTCCTAACGAATTTACTTTAAACATTACAGTGCTACCAGAGACCTGTTTCTACCAGCGGTGTCTGGGTTGCTACCCAGGGCAGACAGTGGCACCAGGTAACCGAGTGGAGTGCCAGCCTGCCAACTGGGTGTCAGCTACATGGGTACATAACTATGGACATCCGCCACCGAGCACAGACTCCCGGATCCCAATTGAGTATAGGTGTTTGAAGATGGTAGCAACGCCTGATGATAAAACTTGTAAGTTCCTGGTTTAACACATGTTTAAAGTACAGTAGTATTAAAGCATAGTATTTAAATTTATTAAGTAAAAACTATCTAATGGAAGTATCAACAATCATAACAACAGAAATTCGCTTAGACAGTAATACTAATAGATTGTCAACCTTATTCCAAAAATATAAGGCTCAATATCTATACGAAAAATTCAAGATAAACTAACCTATTCGTTGAGCTACCTGCTAATAACTGCTGCCCAGACTCCTTCTATGAAGCAGTTATTAACTTATAATGGTAAATAATGCGCCCTTCAAATGCTGAAAGTCGTATAATGTTATATCATAATTATTGAATAAAAAATATTTTTTACAGTTGGCAACACAGTGGATACTCTCCGAGGTTGTGTACCACGCGCGCAAGTTGATTCAGTCTGTCTTGGTCTACTCGCAGTAGAGAGAGCACGTGGCCATAGTGACGCTCGTTGCTTCATCTGCAACGGCAACGACTGCAACTCAGCGACGCATACAACTACATCCTTACAAGCAACAATAGCAACTATACTACTCTACTTCGTCCTTAGGTGAACCAAATAAAACAATTTTTAGTAAACAGTTAATTTAATGACATAGAATTCTCAAATAATTTTATTTTTAATACATTCAATTTTATTGTACATTTTATAATATAATACTTAGTATTTTTGTAAATCGAAAATTTTTTGTACAAATTAAAACATTTCAAGCTATTTTTTTTATTTTTTATTTGTGATGATGTGGTTCGTTTTTATACAGTCACCGTTTTATCCATGAAAAGTAATATATCTAGTCTGAAATCAAATATTTTCACCACTAATCAGATAATCGATTAGTTTCGAGCTACATTAAGAGCCTCGGTCTAGGTCGAAATTAGTCGGGCATGGCCGAAATAGTACGCATAAGTGTAACATAATAGAAGCATTATTTCCTCTTCATAAAAACTAAATACAGACACTTCTCACACATTAAAAATTTGAACACAGGGCTTAGTACGACTTTGTTTTATGTTGAAAGTAATCGAAGGGAGTACTCGTTCAGCGCTCTAATTGGTCGGCTACAATGAACCAACCAATCAGAGCGCCTCACGCGATTTCGATCCGATGGGTACAACAGATTTACTTTTTATGAATAAGACGGTTATAGATAATAAATATTTTTAAGATTTTTACAAAAGTACCATACTGTTGAAAATATCCACGCACTTTAGAATACTTACAAAGCTCTCATTTAATATGATAGACATCAAAACTTATATTTGAGAAACATGATATGGACCCAAGGCCTATTCCACTGCTTACTTCTGATAAATCACTTAACACATAATAATATGGACAATTACATTGTAACATTCCTTAAAGAGGGGAGGCAGTGAGTATACTTATTCTATATTTTTCTTGAGAAATACTTTTCAAATCTAAAAGAGGTTTTATAGTTACTATCAAATAACTTAAGACCGATACAATTCTGATAAAAATTATAAGGATCGCTCCTAAAACTCATCCCTAATTTCATACTTTCAAAGCTGCCTTGAACTTATTTAAGGTGCTGATATGCATGCTAGATTCAAGCAGAAAAGCATGCTTCAATTGAGCAATTGTCACTTAATAATATGTGTCGGAATGTTGCTCAAAATTAGCATGCTTATTTCAGGTATGTTTACGAATCGAAAAGCGCTCGTTTTTCAAATATTTTTGAGCATGCTCAAACGCCTTTAAACTAGAACGCCTTTAAACTGTCAAAAACACCACGAGGACACCGGTGACCGCAACCTATTGTTAACATTACTTTAATTCTGTTTTTACACAAGATAAAATGTAAATTTAACCATTTTAACCTTTCGTATGTCTAAACGTCGTTTCCATGTGTCTCATATCGGTGCATTCAAGCGGTTAATGCAAAGGGTGTAATAAAAATTGCCTAGAAATTTTCAGGGGTGTATTACAAAAAAAGATAATTATTTTAAGGACATACTATGTTTTACAAACTGATATGGTTACCAACTAGATATGAGAAAGTTCATATGGATCTTGTAACAGAACCAAAATATTTGTTTTACTGAAGTTAGATGCAGAACTTTCATTAATTCATAAATATTCGTAACACGCAGTAATCTTACTTAAATGGAATGGTTTTTGTCTTTCATTACACCGAAACCTAAAAGAAGTTGGCAAATTAGATAAATACTAACTAACATACATAATTAAGTAGTTGTTAATTTCAACACAATATAAGAAATTTCTATTTTAATAAAATCTAAATATAAAGGCATAAGACTAGAAGAAGTGTTTATGAGTCGAAATAAGCATAAAAGTTGTTTAAATATCAAAATAGGACGTCAAACGCTGTCAATTAAATAATAAAAAAAAAATTACGTACGCCTGCGCAGATGCGACTACTTTTGCGATAAGGACAATAAATACATTCAGGATTGTAAAAAAGAATCGCCGAGAATTGAATAGACCACCACGGAGCCCAATAGGACTGAAGCCGATACAGAGCCGAAAGGCGAACTTAACGAGCTACCGGGGCTGCGGCTCGAAGTGCAGGAGTAGGAACGGACGGAGTGGTTTTTAGTCAGTAAGAGTCTGACACTCCCTCCTGCATCACCCAGGCGGGTAGAGTCATTCGATGATTTCCCCCCCTTTAAAAGATAAATCTATCACGGCTTTAAATGTATCTGTGAATATAAATCTCTTTTCCATGATAACTAAAAGTATATTAGAAAAGCTTAAATGAATTAGTACTGATGTCAATTAAAGGTATTTCTTGTCAGACTCGTACTTAGCTACACACTCGAGAGATCAAAACTACAACCACAATAAGATAAAATCAGATCTGTAAATATTCTATATAAATAACATCCTTAAAATCTACTGATTAAGATCGATTTTACAATGATATAAAGCATGGTATCCAAAAAAGGAAGACAGTTTATAGTATTTAAATAAATAAATAATTAAGTAGATTAAATGCAATACAAAATATAGTGGAATGTCATAAAATAACAGCTGCATGAGTCATTCTGTTTATAACTATTTCATAGTAACTTAAAGTTGTAAATGTAAAAAATCATGTCAATAATGTCAAAGATCACAAGTTATGGTCACAATCTCGTCTACAAACTAGTCAATTAATTATATAAACATTAATATTACAAATCACAGGTGCTATGTACCTAAATGCCTGCACTAAACACATAGAACATTGTACAACGATCTAACTTATAAGATCCTGAATCAGACTCAAATTATATTAAGTACTTACTAAAATCTTATTTTGGAATATGTACTAGGATTTGCGACCTTAAAACCTTAAACTGTAGTTAAATTTTGTAAATTATTGCTTAAATTTTAACTAATTTGTACTACCTAGTTTTATCACAATATTAACGCCAAGGCACGCGTTCAAAATGCCATATTTGTTTATCGTCTGTGAGGCATCGTTTTGATGTTAAGGGGTCCCCGATACCGTGCATGTTTTTAGTCACCACTAATGTGAGGCACTGACCGTCCTGGGTTTTTAATCTGGGACCCTTCTGCTCCCAAATTTGTTTACTGCTATCAGAGCAACTCTTCCAAATAGCTCGCCCATTCCCTTGCTGTAAGCACAACCCTTCGTCCACCATTAACTTACCTTCTGGAGTGAAAACGACTAAGCTTTCGAACTCAGCTTGTTTGGTACAATCTATTCCAACTGCTGGTATTCCCAACCCCACTGTCCCAACAGTAACTCCTATACAAGCTCCTTTCTCATTCTTTATCCTCCCGAACCATCTATCATCGGTTGGGAAAAAGTGTTGTGGCCAAACGTTGTTTAGGTACCACCCAAAGCTTTTGCAACTCAAATTCTTTCTTAATTCTATTCTATTTGCAACTGACTGTTGATCGCGATACGAGGCTACTTCAGGGTTGAATTTGAAGTAGAAGTCTGCCCACTCATCCATCCAGACTACGGCAGCTCGAGCTAAGTTTGCGTAGAGGACTTTTGTGACCCCTCCAGGGTATTTGTAGGGGCTATGTCTTCTAAATATATGTCCGACGCGGGAACACGATGTTATTTCTACCCTGGCTCCACACTGCCAGGCTCGCCATGATAGCTCTAAGTTCTCTGCTCCCCAAATGACCATACCCTCGTCATAACCTCCGAGGCGCCAGAAAAGACTTTTTCTGACTGCAAAAAGACCACCAGCCATGGCTGGGGTTGGATACGGCTTTGAAGGATTTTCTGACTTCTTTTTGAGCACTTCGCCGCTAGGTACTAACCATCGGAAATGCAGCCTCCAACTGAATGCTCCCCAATGGGCGTCAATGCTTTTCACGTACGACAGTGTGTCTTCAGATAACAGGTCTATATGAGGACATATGAAGACATCGTCGCTTCCTGCACGGTCTAACAATGGTTCCAACCATCCTATTGTGACCTGAAATAACAAATATGTTCTTTGTTATCGACAGATACACCCATTGTCATCAACCGGAATATGTGTATTGCAGACTACTCCTTCACAACGAAGATAGGTTGGCCATACTCCTTACTGATACTTTGGTTAAGAAACAGAAATGTACATCTGTTTCTAAGAAAGAAGAGCCTAAACCGTAGCATACACGATTACACACATCATCAAAACTCCCAAAATTTTCCTTTAAAAGTAACGAAATGTGTTTCAATAGTCTATAAACATAGTCTCGTCTCACCTCACAGTGCGCATCAAGAAAGACTAGTACGTCTCCAGTAGCCTGTCTGGCCCCCATCAGACGAGCCCCAACCAACCCTTTCCTCTCAGGATTCCGTAATATCTTCACTTTGTTCAACTTCGCCACAGCTTCGTCCAACTCTTCGAAAAGATATTTCCTATCGCTTGCATCGTCCACTAGAATTATCTGTAAGAAGTTTTTAAATTGGTTAAAATTGTGATTTTATTTATTTTTATGTTCCATGGTATTGACTACCAAACCCAGTAGTTTTAATTTTAAAAACTTCTAACCATCTTTAGAGTCAGTCTAAATAAATACGTTAGATTAAATTGCCAATCAAACTAATTTCTAAGGATAGAGAAACATAACAGTGCATTCTTAAATCGAGCCCGAGACATGGAGGTAATTAGAAAGAACTACATTTTGAAAAATATTGAAAACTAGTATATTATTGAGCCAATTTTACCCAAAAAGTCTATACAAGGAGTAAACTTAATTATAGATAGTAAAAGAAATACATTATAATACTTGTTGCAATAGTTGAGCAGGTGATCTTATCAGCACCGACATGACAGTCCGCATGAGAGTAGACCACGCTTCATTGTGGAACACTATTATCACCGTCGCTGTAGGCAAGTTTTCCAGGTCGAACTGCACTTCTTTACATCTGAAAGAGTCAAAATCATTTATTTTAATTAATACACATAAAGGTAAGGTACTTTTGAATAGTGTACAGATTTTTATTTTCACCATCGTATCGGCTGCAAGATATCTATTGCTAAACTAGAGATCCTTTTTTTTAATGAGGGAAATCATCCATTGACTTCTCCCGCCCGGTTGAGGCGAGAGGGAGTGTCACGACTCTTACTGACTAAAAACCACCTGGTTCCTTCGACCAGGAGCCCCAGCAACTCGTTAAGTCCTCCGCGGCTCTGTATCGGCATCAGCCCTATTGGGACATATCTGTGGTGGTCTGATGGCTCTTTGAAGCACGCGCGGAACGCGACTCGCCGTACGCTCGGGTCTGGTTCTGGTCGAGCGGCAAGCCACTCCGCAAAGAGGGGCCTTACCGCTGCAATGACAGCGAGCCCAGAACCGGAGAGTCTAAGGACTTCTAGATCGACCCTGAGAAGCGACCTGCATGCAGGTGGTCTACCCTTGACCTATTTGTTGGACATCCTACACTGCAGTAAATTCCAGTATCAAATTATATTTAATGAATGGTAAAAAATAAGAAGAAGAGAAAAAGTTATTCTCCGAAGACATCAGATCAAAATGGTTCTAAAACGAGGTCCTTTTAGGACCATTTTGATTAGTCGCATATAACTTCTGTATCTGCTATCATCTAATTAAAAACATTTATTTCTATCTCAGTTGGATCCAATGACAACAAATAATGAACGTTTCTTTACTTTACTTCCCTTATCTTTGCATCCTCGCTTATTACAACGATAGTTTCGGTGCATTATAGACAACCTTGCATAAATAATTTAATAACGAAGGATTATGTAAGCTCTGCAAGAAGAACTAGAAATTTTGAAGTGCATCCAATACACATGAACTAGTAAATACTTTTTGATTATTAATAGAAATAATACGCGAGTGACGGTTGCGTTGTGTTTCGCCGTATGAGTAAAGATAGGTAACCCCCAATACTCGGAAATGTCGTCAACGCAATTGTAACATCGCTGGTGTTGCGGCTGTCCATGTCTAGCGCTAATAGCTTACCATCAGGTGATCAGCCTGCTCGTTAGCCTTCCTATTCCATAAAATAAATAGTGAAAGGTGCAAAAACCACCTATCAAATTAATTTCGAATTTCAAGAAGGTTTACAAAACAATAATCTGCTCATATAGATCATAAGTACCTAATAAGTAATTACATATTCATATCGACACGCCACGTTAAACCGTTCAGTTTCGGTTGTCATACGAACATCAATGACGGTCGTTGGGTAATCAGAAACTCAATGCTATGACTGTGCATATCGGAAAATCAAACAGTCATAATAATCATTGATCCGATCAAGAAGCAATGCAATCAAGGAAATATAATTATTCATATGAGATGAGAGAGTCATGCTGCTTCCATTTCTAAGGTGTTACGACGTGTGAGTGACCTGACAGGAGGCCTAATAATTACCTTGCACTCTTTCTCTAAGCTCGGCAAAGCACTTTTTTCTCTTCTAGTGTTGCAGGTGTTCATTGACGGTGCTGATTGCTTTCCATCGGATGATCCGTTTGCTCCCCCCCCCCATCATAAAAAGAAGTTGTTAACAAATAGTACTCACTTGTCACTACGCATATCTGGCAAACTTCTATTGATAGATATTTTGTCGCTGACGAGGATGTTATACGAGTGTAGGGAGTACAATTCCCGGGCGGTGATGAGTTCTCGCTGTGACAACTGTACTGGCCGCCCTCCTTCGCCGGCCCCCGGCACAGGTGCATAATTATTTTTATGTATTACTTCTGAAAAGTAACAATTTTATGGATTATGTGTCAAGTTTCAACTACATGTAGTTCAGAGAGGACGAGACCGCGTTCAGCGCTCTGGTTGGCTAGCTCCAATGAACCAAGCAATCAGAGTTCGATTACTACGTAAAAAACCTCGGTACTATTTCTTTTTTTAAGGGGGGAAAATCATCGAATGGCTGTTCCCGCCTCGTGAGGCGGGAGGGAGTGTCAGACTCTTACTGATTAAAAACCACCCCGTTCCTAATCCTGCACTTCGAGCCGGAGCCCCGGCAACCCGTTAGGTTCACCGCGACAACCTCGTTACTATAGCCTCAGTAGTCTTCATGTGAAAACGTAACAAATATACATCCATAAAAACACAAACTTTGACATACATAACATCACGCCTTTTATCCCCAAAGGGGTAGGCAGGGTAGATAGACAGAGGTGACCATTACGGCGCTTAATGCCACTGTACAATGTTACACCCACTTTTCACTATTTATGTTATAAGTCCCATGTAGTATGTAGTATAGGAAGTGAGCCCATTGCCATCTACCGGGCAAAATTCCTTTGACATACATGAAAATTAATAAACCTAAATCGAATGCCTAGACACATAAATTCTAGTATAGTACATGTTACGATGCAAGCTAAAAGTCGTTAAAGGAAAGAGAATTTAATACATTTTGATTATAGTGCCTAAGTAATCAGATTAAAAAACAATTGGCATGACAAGTTAATTTTAATTAAATCATGAAACATTATTTGTGCATATCTAAGAAATGTTGTTAAATCAAGCAAACATGATTAGCCAATCTTTGTATAACTATTTGTATATTTTTACAGCAATATTGTTGTAAGGGAATATTGAAAATAAATAAAAACAATACCTGTTTACATACGAATACTATTCATTTGAATTCTATAAGTGTAACTAAGTAGGTGTAGGTGTAACATGTGTATATTTTAGTATCATTAAATTTATTTAAAGACAATATACATTGTAGAAAATTATTTTGTCCAAGGGGACAAATTGGCATCTGCTTTAAAAAATATACACAGAAACAAATTAATTAAAGGTTCTTTACCTTTTTTATAATTATGTAATTGACTGGTGAAAACCTGTACAATAGTTTTTGGGAACTTTGTTTTCTATGTAAGGACCAGCTAGCCCGCGCGGTTTCAGCCGGTCAGCTCAACTCCTATTGATCGTATCGTGATGTTCAAAGCAAATAGCCTTCCTCGATAAACGTACCATCCAACACAAAACGAATTATTCAAATCGGACCAGTCGTTCCGAAGATTAGCGCGATCAAACAAACTTCTGGGGTTTATTTAATCTATTTGTATAGATTAACAAAATGTCTCATTCTAATTTTACAATAACCACTTTCTACTACATGTATATATTATGTATAATTTATACATACGATACTCATACCAAAATAACATTTTTTATTATTACTTACCACTTCATTCGTTAATTTTTAGTACACAATCCATCTAAATGTTTCTTTTTAATAATATCCACCCAAAGGTTGTCTGGTAGAGATCACTATAAGTGATATTGTGCTCATTATTTTGTTTATGTTTGTTTTTCCTTTTCTGTATGTATATACTATATTATTAATGGTGTACAATAAAGTTTATTCTATTCTATTTTTTTACAATTCTGTCTATTTGTACTGGATGTCGCGGGAAACAACTTATAGTATATAAGATTAAAAGGTAAAACAAATTGTCAATGCCAATACTATAAAATTACGATTCTCAGTAACTATTACTAAAACTAGGCTGTTACAATTTCCTGCTAAATCATCAACATGCGTGTGAAGATTTGTATCTCATAGACATTCAAGGTTTCACAGTGTCATTGTGAATTAGCACCATGTTAGAGTTATAAATAGATCACACATCACATTTTGCAAGGGTGCAAGGTTATTCTATTATTGCATTTTTTCATTCATTAACTCGTCGAGTATCGGTTTTGTAGACACAATTATAGAACAATAGGTTGCGGTCACCGGTGACCGCTTGGTGTCAGTGCCGGATTAGCCACGTAGCAAGAGTAGCAAATGCTACGGGCCCCGCGGATTGGAGGGCCCCGCGCTCAAATAGGTATTTCGTAATTACCTACACCACTTCAACAGCAAGACTTATGAAGAAAATGTTTTGTTTACAAAACTACTACCAACCTACATGTAATTTGATTTTTTTTCTTAACGAAAAAAGACAAATAGTCGGTATTTTGTATGTGTAAGAAAAGGAAAGTTAGTATTTGTGCGCTTGGTTGGTGCCATTGGCGGGCGAAACAAGCTCGATTTAAACGAATTAAAAATGAATTAAGGAAGACTATAGGCCAAAAACGTCTTAATCATCTCACAATATTGAATATAGAGCATGACTTGCTTAAAGAAGTCGATATTGAAAGTGTAATCGCTAAATATGCCATAACAAATCCAGAAAAATTTATTTGTAACAGTTTTGTTTTATGTAATACCCTAAATAACGACAAGACCAAATTTGTATGGAGCGTAGTGCCTTTTTATTTTTTCGCGGCAGTTAATAGGATGTGAAAAAACTGATACAGAATAACATTACAAACAAAAAAATAGTATGGGGTCTTATATCAAAAACACAGTCCAAACCGAGTTAAATCAGTTCAAAGATGTGAAAATAGTGCTATATAATTCCTTTTATTTTGTTGATGTTGACCGTACACAACGCATATTTCTTCATTTACTTGTCAGAAATATTTTGTAATAAATGTTTATAAACGATTTCAAGGAATATAGTCAAGCTTATAGTGGACTTCTTTATCTTTTTTTATAAGGCCACGGAATCATAACAGAGTCAAACATTAACTGGCCACTGTTCAAGTAAAAAAAAAAACATTTTGCTTGCTTGGCTAGCGTGTTCACTTTATACCTATGTATACGGTTTATGGCCTATGACAGGTTTTCATGTAAGTTTCAATATCTTCTCAGTCGAAAACCCGCAAAATACTTTACTGAGCCCTATCACGAAATGCTATGTTTGTCTGTTGTCAGCTGCGGCGTCGGTGGCGAATTGAGCAGTGACAATAGTCAAAACACGAAAAAATGTTTTTTCCGTCTACTTCTCCCGACTTACTCCCGATTAGTCACTAATTTAACTACAGTTAATACTCTAATCTACAGCTAGCATAAGATTCTGTACAAAGATCGTCATTCAGTCACGAAGTGATGGATTATATTTCGACTGATCACATTATATGAAAAAAAATTATACGCTCATATGACGTAGTATATCACTTTACAAAGTCGACGGTTTCCTTTCTTCAAAAGATTATGCGAACTATAAAGTAGATGAGTCTCCCACCAGGAGTCAGTGTCTAAACAAAATATACTTTATTAGATGTTCGCACGGCTACCACCACTCAACCCACCACTGGTAACATAGCTGAGGCTCATGAAGCTTCATGACACAACTCCTAGAAGCATCCCACAAGTTATCGACTGAGAGAAAATAGGTAATAAAAATTTGTGCCTGGGAATATGAATATACATATTGTGGTGTGATATGGTGTTCCTGTGCCCGACGTACAGTTGCGCGCAATTTAAAGTTGGGAATTGTGACAAAAATATGAATAATTTGAATAAAAAAACCAAAGTAAAATGTTTGACTTCAGCTCCTTTCAACGCTCTTAGCTCAGTCCAGACTGAGATTTCCATACATGAGCCCATAGACAATTTCGTTTGTAATGACATTCTAGACAATATTTACCATAAATTATCGACTGCCGCCAGAAAAAAGAAAGGCACCAATTTTAGTCAATGCCCAAATGAGAACCGATGGCAAACCAAGGGCCCCTTGACAAAATTTGCTACAGGCCCCGCGCTTGCTTAATCCGGCACTGCTTGGTGTTTGACAGTTTAATCATGATATATCATAAACTAGCGACCCGCCCCGGCTTCGCACGGGTGCAATATGCATGTATTATACATACAAACCTTCCTTAAGAATCACTCTATCTATTAAAAAAAACCGCATCAAAATCCGTTGCGTAGTTTTAAAGATCTAAGCATACATACGGACATACAGCGAAAGCGACTTTGTTTTATACTATGTATTGATGTATAAATAAATAAATATCATACCCAAAATTTGTTCATACAAAAGTAGTCTCTAAACATCGGAAATAAGATCTATAATAGAATTAGTGGAGAGCAGACCGCTTGGGTTTTTTTTAAGGGGGGAAAATCATCGAATCACTTCTCCCGTCTGAGTAAGACGGGAGGGAGTGTCTGACTTTTACTGACTAAAAATCACATTGTTCCTACTCCTGCACTTCGAGCCGGTAACCCGTTAAGTTCTCCGCGGCTCCGTATCGGCATCAGCCCTATTGGGCCCCATCTGTTGTGGTCTGAAGGCTCTTATAAGGCGCGCGCGAAACGCGACGTGCCACATGCTCGGGTCTGGTTTAGATCGGGCGGCGAGCTACCCATGCTCGCCGTCCGCAGGCCCGTACTTACGGTGGCCAGAGATCGTGCCACTTGGGCTTAGAACAGTAAAAATCTTGGTAACTGTTTTTAGTGGTTTGATATGACACTGTAATGGTCTGACTGTTAAGCATGTTCTTAAATTAAGTAAAGATTTTAAAGCTACCTAATTTTAAGTTGTACTTAAATATTGTGCTATCACTGTCATTTTACAAAGAATTTGTAGTAAGTAACAGGACAATCCTTAAGAGTGACTGAAAATTAATGTTTCAGTAAGTAACATAACATTTCAAGTAACATTTTAAAGACCAAATTAAATTGTGTAATATAGAGGTAATATAGAATCATAGCTATACTTTGTAAGAATGGGGATTTACCAACCAGTAGGACAGATGAATAGCTAGAACTTATCCAAAAAGGTTGTACAAACATAAATAAAAAACCATTCAGGCAAATTGAGAACCTACTCCTTCCTTTGAAAGTAGGTTAAATATAATTTTAATTTATTATAATTAAAAATAAATATTCTGATTTTCTACTCTTTTTTAATTGCTATTCAGACAACAAAATAATGACAAAGTAAATGTTTAAGTAATCTAATAACTTACCTTCAGATAAATTGCCACCATTTGTACCACCTACATAATGTCCGACTATGACTCGCATCCCACTTTCGTCCACATAGGAGTTTTTATCAAATTGTAAACTGAAATAAAATTATATAGCTTTTAACATTAGGTAATACTTTTATTCACACATCAATCATAAATAAACATTTCAACCAGCAACCAGCAGCATTGTCTGGGGTTCCATGGAATAAAAAGTAGCCTATGTTTCAAATATCATCCGGACCCCTTGAGGTGAAAGAGTACCAAAGATACAAACTTTTGCATATTTTATAATATTAGTAGAATTTTTATTCATAATATACTGCCTCGTTGGCCCAGTGGTCGCAAGTGCGACTGCCGGGCAAGGGGTCTTGGGTTCAATTCCCGGGTCAGGCAAAGTATTATGGGTTTTTAAAAAAATCTCAGTAGTAGCAGAGAGTCTGGAACTGTGCCCAGTATATGGCAATAGGGTCGCCCCCTATTACATGGGGCTTATAATATAAATAGTGAAAAGTGTGTGTTACATTGTACAATGGCATAATGTGCAACTCTGCCTACCCCTTTGGAGATAAAAGGTGTGATGTTATGATTGATGATAATGATTATTTCATAATGTTCGACTCACCTATTGTACCAAGGCTGTTTTTCTTTTCTCCTAATGGTATTATAGAGCTCTAAGCTGACATAAAAGAAACAATTTAATAAGACTACTAAAATTACAGTTAGAACTACTATTTTTTTCTTACGTCCACGACATAGTAGGGACCAGTAACCCTGAAATAAAATAATTTAAACAAATAAATAATTATACATATAAAGCTATCTATATCTGTGATACAAACATTCAGAAAACACAATTTAGTTCATAACTTTTAAAGTTAGAAAACCACTTACATTTTTATGCAGCATCGTTTTAACGCTATACGATGTGGTACAGTATACTTTTTAATTCATAAACAGTGAATTAAACACTGAACATACTGTTATCTTATTGCTTTCCAAGCCGATTTATTGAACGGACTGAATGCAACCTATTGTTGTTTCGACTGAATAACAACTGTCACCCTTGAATAGTTTCAGTTATTGTTTCATTCATGTCCATTTCTTCTCTCATTCTTTCAACTACAAAATCCATATGAACAGCAGTTCCATTATGAAAGATAATGATCCCTTTTTTACTGCCACTTTTCAAAATAAATGTTTGAGAAGTGGAACGCGATTGGCGATTGCGATTACGCGACAAGATAAGTTTTGAAGTTCTGGTCTTCTGGATGTCATTTAATGACAAGGACAGCTTATTTCCCCGTTGAGTAACTGCGTTCAATTTCTCAACTTACAAACTGTTTATTATTTATTTATGATATAAGTATCTCATTTACTTTGTTACAAACAATTTTTAGGCTCTACTTATTTGCTCTTGAATAAAATCAAATAAAGTCAATTTAAATATTACCACATTTACTTACTTGAATACTAGTCATACTCAGTATAGTAAAATTAATTAACTCTGGCGGATTTTAAATCTTATTTACATCGCATTAAAAACAGCGTCTACTTAGTATTAATTAGGTTTTTTTTACGGAATCAATTACAAGATTGCATCGAGAATTTGAGAGCGCAGAGGAGGAAGTTACGGAAGTTAATATCAAAAATGTCAAAGTTTATTGATTTTGATGTCTTTCATCCATTGATTGACATGTGAATTGACACTAACACAGTCATTATTTGCCATTAGCGGTATATATTAATTTTGCCGACAATATTTATTTCTAACCAAAGGTATGTTACTTTTGATATTTATTGCGTATCGATTGTGAGCAATAGCTTAAAATGTGGAACATATAATTTTTTCGAAAGGCTTGCTTGCGCTTTGTTCGTCAAATTCTTATTTGTTCAATTCATTTTATATTGTTGTTTGTTTTTATATGAAACATGTTTATTTGACCGAATAGAAACAATAGTATCAGCGCGCACGATGTCGCGGCGTAGTAATTGGAATAGAGCATCATATAAAAATCAAAATCGTGGGGGCAGACCTCATGGTTTGCGCGGCAAAGACATCGGCCTTTATTATAGAGATCTGCAGAGAAATAAAAATAAAAATATGGATCTAGATTATATGGTAAATAAGCTTTCTTTGAGAACTTTCTCTTTATGATTGAGACCTTCCAAACTCTTAATATTTGATTCCTGATGTTACATTCTGAAAACCAAATTATTATTTTATACATACATAACTATATTATCTCAGGTTATTAAAAAAAGCTATACACAAAAGCTATATACAAATTGGATGATTTATCATATCATCCTCCCAACTTTTTACTGGTTATGTTATCGGTCACTTAGTAATAGGGAGCGGAGCGAATGTATGGGCAAAATTTTAATAAATTCTAAATCTATGCTTTGATACTGAGGGTTTTGAAATCGATAAACCAAGTTAAACTAAGCCAAATCAAATCTAAGACCTTATGCTCAGCAATCAATTGCATTTGCGACTTGACCAAATTGTATTCGTCTTCAATACTAGACCTAGCCTGACAGCATATATAGGTGTTTATATGTTGTTTGAACAGGCAACATTGAGAAAGAAGCTTTATATAATTTAATAACTTTATACCATACTAAATTAAACTCCCTATATTTAAAAGCAACAAAGTCACAACAGTAATAAATTAAATTTGATTATTATTTTAGATAAATCTATCAGTACCACCCGCAGTACTGACAAGCTTGCAGAAAAACATACAATCTATTAAAAAGATTGCCAAAGAACATAATATACATGTACCACCACCTAAACGTTTAAATTTTGTTACAATAAAGAAAGATGATAAATCTGAACACCGTTATGATAGAAAAAGTAGTTACCCTGCGCACAAAAATAAATATTCTGATCAGTCCACGTCATTGGATACTCCTAGTACCTCTTGGGACTATAATATGCAGGTAGATGATGTAAAAGAATCAAACGCAAAAGAAGCGAAAGTGGGATCATCAGGTGAAGAAGATTTGAATACAGGTCCTGAAAAAGCAAAGTCCAGTCTTTCATCAGATGAAAGACAGCCAGGTCCTCTAAGAGGTGCCGGTGATTATAAATATGGCTATGAAGACATAATTACAGGTACTTTTGAAGAAAAACTTGAAAAATGTTTAAATGATGGAGTCAATATAGCCATGAATAACCCCACAATTCAAGCCTTAAATGAATCATACTATGAAAACTATAAGACAATGATAAATGTTGATAAATATATCAAAATGAAAACATTCCGAGAGAGGTTACCAACATACAAGAAAACAAAGGAACTGCTAGAAATGTTTCACAATAATCAAGTGGTTGTTATTAGTGGTGAGACTGGCTGTGGAAAATCTACTCAGGTATTTTTATATTTACCAACTTTAAGAAATATTTATTGTCTCTTTAGCATAAAATTGAAAATCTGTAATAAGTTTAAAAAATGGCCAAATGTGACTATTTTTGAATTTAATTATACATATTTGTTTTCAGATTCCACAGATAATTTTAGATAACGCGATTGTCAATAAAAATGGTGCTAATGTTCATATTTTAGTCACTCAACCGCGGCGTATAGCCGCTTCATCCTTGGCAATGAGAGTTGCTGAGGAGAGGTCTGAAAAAGTGGGCACATCTATAGGATATGCTGTCAGATTAGAAGTGTAAGTATTACTTACTTTGACCAACTAAAGACTTTTTATTCATAAAACACTTGTTTTATTAATAAAACTGCTAAAATAACTCAAAGAACTTAGTACCTATTACCAAACTATAGTAAAAAATTCCGGTTTGGTATTGCAGAAATTTGTACACTTCTAGATTAGGAGAATCATATTTAAATGTTTTTATTATTAGTTATAATTTATGATTCATATGAAGCTTGTGTCGATTATCTGTTCCTTTAGTGTAATGTAACACAAACAGATTTATGTTTATTTATTTTGATTACCTATTTATGCGAAATGCTATTTTATTGGGTATAAAATTATAATTCTCGTAAGATTCATTACAGAATTCACGTACTTAATGTATAGATTGGTATACCTCAGGGTTCGCATTTGGTACCATGTTTGTTCATTGACCATTTATGTGCTGAAATTAATTATTGTCACAAAAGTTAATCATGTGTCAATTTATTATTTATTTCCATAAAGTAAAGCCCAAAATATTCAAAAATTATGTTATATTATTGTATTATATGTATTCTACTATTTTTAGTGTGGATCAACGACCACGCGGTAGTATAAAATTTTGTACCACGGGAGTTTTACTCGCGGAACTGGAAATTAACCAGGGTTTGACTAACTATAGTCATGTGATACTAGATGAGGTACACGAGAGAGACTGCGATATTGACATATCCATGTTAATGTTGAAACAGGTAACTAGACAAAATAATAAGTAATAAGTAAGTAGTGTGCATAAGTAATGTGCGAATTTGCTTCTATACTCGTAGTTACCCCATAAATTTAGTTACCTGCTCTTTTACTTTGAACAATATACCTACTTAAGCTACGACACAGCCATATTTATGGACTCAAATTGTAACTATAATACTCATTTTTCAGGTGCTCAAACAGCGCAAAGATCTCAAACTAATTTTAATGAGTGCAACAATAGATGCTGATAGACTGAGGTCTTATTTTGATGACTGTCCAGTGATGCATATTGAAGGCCTAGCCTACCCTGTAGAGGATATTTATTTAGAAGATATCCTGCAAATGACGAAGTACATTCCATCGTTTGACCAAGGCACCCGAGCGGCCCACAAAGGCCAACGACAGAAATGGAAGCGAAAAGAAGAAGAAATGGAGAGAGACATACAATATAAAGCCGAAATTGGTTAGAAACGAAATATGATGCTGCATGTTTATGAATTTCTATTTATTTTTTACTAATGCCGCATGAACTGTTCATTCAATCAATGGATTTTTCACTCTCCTGTTTGTATGTAAAGTCGAAAATCTATTAATGATTTCTTATTGTATAGAGTAGACTAATGTACGAGTAGTTTGAAAATAATTGTTCGTAAGTCAGTATTTTTTTAAATTCACGTATTCCTTTGTTATAGCTCCATGGCTTGAGTCCGTCAAAAAACAGCTCCCCCGTGAAGTGTACACTGTGCTCAAAGACGCAAGGATTGAAGACTTGAACATAAATATAATTTATGAACTGCTGTTATACATATGTAAGGGAAAACCTGGCGCGGTACTGATTTTCCTGCCAGGCATTGGAGACATAACAAATCTTTTGAAGATGATTGAAACTAGTAATAATTTCCCAAAATCTCGCTTTGCAATCTATCCATTACATTCAAAATTGCCATCATTAGAACAACAAAAGATATTCCAGCGACCCCCAGATTATATAAGGAAGATTATACTGGCTACAAACATTGCTGAGACGTCTATAACTATTGATGATATTGTATATGTTATTGATTGCGGTAAAATTAAGTATAGTGGACTGAATATTGAGGATAATATACCCACCTTGCGTACAGAGTGGGTAGCACAAGCTAATTTAAGGCAGCGGTAAGCAATGCATGCTACTAAATTCATAACACATCTTGATGTATACTAAAACTGCTCCCCCATATTGAACTACTGATTTGAAATCTCCACTTGCACCATTTTATAGAAATAAATCACACAAACAACATTTATTTATACTTTTTTGCACACATGCAGAATATAAGTTTAGATTTTAATATTAATTTGAGTACAATAGGCGATAATATTATTGTTATTCCGATCCGATCCCAACCTTAGTCGAATTTTTTAAAGTTACTTTTGTTTCACAGGCGTGGCCGAGCTGGTCGCTGTCAGCCAGGCATATGTTACCATTTGGTGACGTCATTCCGAGCCAGTCAACTGGCGGAACGTCTTCTGCCAGAAATACAACGGAACTCCTTATTAGAACCCGTTCTAGCTATAAAGAAGTTGCGTTTAGGCAAGGCATCTCTTGCTTTGAGCAAGATGCCGTCTCCTCCCGCTGAAACCACTGTGGAACGAGCTGTCAAACGCTTATCTCAGTAAGTAGAATGCAATACTTTTGGCAACCACGAAAGTTTAAATTAAATCCAGCGCTGAATGCTGTGTGAATAAATAAAAAGAAAGATAATGACCAAGAATGGGTATATTGAATAAAGTAAACACTTTTTGCATAAAAAAAAGAGATGTATAATTATATATAGGATGTCAAATTTAAAACATCCCTTTGAAGACTTTCCATGACAACAAGACCTATGTCTTGTTGGAAATAAATAACAAGGGAACTTGTCATAAATTGAAAATGATTGATATTTTTTTTTTAATTTTTCATCACCCTTTGTTTTGATCTAATAAAAATAATAATATTCTCTCTCTTTACCAGAATCGGTGCTCTAGACAACGATGAAAAGTTAACCCCACTTGGGTGGCACTTAGCTCGTCTGCCAGTCCACCCGGCCGCAGGCAAACTGCTGCTATTAGGCACATTGTTCGGATGTCTTAACCGCGCAGCCAGTGTCGCTGCCGTATGGGGATTTAAGGACCCTTTCCAACTTGTTATTGGTAAGTTTTGAGACACACTAATCAATAATGTATGTTGACTTTAGAAGAAGTTAAAATGGATTCTTCAGTTCTGTTTCTGAATCTAGAATTAAGTGCTACAAAATACTTACCACAAGACAATCTAATTACTTATTGACTAGAAGCTTAACTTTATTGTAACATTCAAGGCAAGGAAAAAGAAGTGGATGAGGCGAAACGCACTCTAGCTCTAGGCGAGCCGAGTGATCACGTGGCTATATCAGAAGCCGTCATTCAATTTGAGCATTACCGCACTTACCATGAGAAACGCAAATTTGCATACGAGAACTTCTTGTCCTGCCACACTTTAGAACTATTGTCGGATATGAAGAGGCAGTTTGCGGGTAATTTGAAGCAGATGGGCTTCCTACGTAATGCTGATATCAAGTCTCCATGGGAGAATCGCAACATGGATAATCTGAGCCTCTTCAAAGCTATAGTGGCGGCCTCTCTGTACCCTAATATTGCGACTGTGAAGTAAGTAATCACAACAAACGCACATCATTGTCATCTATAGACCTTTCATCTAACTCTGTGTCTTAATCAGTATTCTTTTTTTGCAAATATCTTCAGTAAACATTATCATGTAGGCACAACTTTTACCTGTATGTATTACAGAATCAAAGGTTTTAATAATTTGCTATTTAATTTTAGGTGGAAGAATATCAATCCTCGTAAACGTTTCTTAGACCCCCGTCTAAAGGTGAGGACACCAGAAGATGGCTCAGTGAGTTTGCACCCAAGCAGTGTAATGGCCTTTAAGAGCTACCCACCAGGACGTGGATACCCCCTCGCCCCAGTGTGTGACAGCCCTGGAGCCACCTGGCTTGTCTACTGGCTTAAGCAACGATCATCAGACCTATTCCTCTTTGATGTAACCCTGATCTATACTTTGCCTTTCTTGTTCTTTGGAGAATTGGCCATAACTGAAGGTGAGTGTTCTTTTCTTTTTCTTTTTAAAAAAAAAACGTTGCCCCACTTTAGGATTTTCTCCTGTGTCGTGGGTGCGTTTACAAACATACAAGTTCACATACACAATGACACCCAGACCCGAAACAACAATTTGTGGATCACACAAAGTGTTGTTCCGTGCGGAAATCGAGCCCGCGACACGTTGCATGGCAGCCGGTTGCCCAGCCACCGCACCAACCATGCAGTCCAAGTGTTGGAAATGTATTTGCTTATTTTTGTATACTCTAAAACAGGTTTAGGATCTGATGTACCTGGTGGACAGCAATATTCATGGCCTATAGTTTGCATTCTGTAGAACCAGAGATGAAGAAATGCGCGTTGCATGCGACCGTGCTTCACTGGTGTGAAAATAACAAACGAACCGAAAAAAAAAAATCTATGTAACTTCGTCTCACCTAAGCTTTAAACACAAAACCTCAAATTAGGCAGTTAAAAATAAGCAAACAAATCGATTTACAAAAACAATATTATTTTTAGCTCCTGACCCATCAAACTACTGCATTTTGATATCCAATATTAAAGTAAGCTGCAACAAGACTACTATGGATCTTCTGTGGGAACTGCGGTCTTTATTGGATCAAGTGTTGGCGGCTAAGATCAGTAGCTCAAACATTAATACAGCTAGTGGAAATGTCTTCGAAAATCAAGTATTGGAGTGAGTACATATTATATTATTATGATTTTAGTTAGTTCTTACTAACTGTTAAGTAAAGCTTCACCCACACGTTCAAAGGAAATAAATTGCTTATATTATTCCACAGCGTCCTAAGTCTAGAAATAAATCGACGTGAAACGTTAAAGAATGACAAACTAACACATATTCCCTTTTATAATATTAGATTTGCCACAAAATATATCAAGTATCATGATTAAATAATAGAATTATGAAGTCGTATTGACTTCGCACTTATTACTTTTTACATCATAATAGTGTTAAAAAAGTGCTATTGAATTTGGCGCGGTTTATATGCTGTTATATCATCTATACATATGCATGATATCTGCGTATATTTATATCAGGGAGGCCACGCAACGTAAGCAACCTTGGTTTAGTCGTGGCCTCAGCACCGAGGCCGACCATGAACGAACGAGGTCATAGTCAAGGTTAAAACGAAGGCTATGTGTATATACTGTCCTCCACATTTATTAATTAAAGTTCCTACAATAATCTGATTAGTAATCACTAAGTGTTATCTAAAATTGCTTACGTACTTGTAAAAGAAAATTAATTTCAAATATTTTTATTTAGAACTGGCAACATATTTTAACAAACTTTAGGTTTTAATCAGATGAGGTTAACAAAATTAGCAACGCCAATTGTAGGAGCATAATATTTTTGAAATAATTTTACGATAGATGCATTATTTTATTTCTGAATGATACAGTTAATTAGTAAACGTATAACCAAATACATGTATTTTGTTTCAGTGCTGTCATGGAGTTAATCACGGCGGAGGACGAATGTTTAGATTTTATTTCAGATAATGATTCGGAATCAGACAGGTCCGAATATGACTCACGTAGGTCCTGGCGACGTTAATTAAATTTTTATTTTATTTATTTATTACACAGTTGAAATTTTGTTACTTTTCGTTTTTTATTTTAAACTTGTGATTTTTTAGTCTAACAACCCCGTTTTGACAGCTCAATGATAACAACTTGTTTTGATATGTTGATAAAGGTTGATTTTATTTGGTTATGAACCGAATTTAGATTTTTATAAATTAATACCTAAATTCTAAGATATTTTGTAATATTGTGAAGAAAAATGTTAAGTCCACTGCAGGTGGGTCAAATTACTTTTACAACTATACCTATTTTTTATTACTATACAGAATTTATCGACTGATTATACACTGATCAAAAGTCTTGAGTATTTTACGTAGGTATATTTAAATACCTACCTATTTAATATATAACGTAAGCTATATATTATTTCGAACTATTTCCCTTTATATGAGAATTTCTCAAATAAAAAGCAGGGATAGTTTTAAGTTTTTATATGATATTTCTACTTTAATTGTAAGAACCTATTTAACTCTTTTTGATCTCTAATATTTGTATACCCTTTAAGTAATATTTGTATTTTGTTATAACAGGTACTTAAGTACCTATATCAAAAATAATTAAGTTATTAAATAACTGTTTTTATAAACTTTTAAAAGAGAAATCATATTTCTCTTTGACACAACAGTCGAAAAATTATTGTGTGTGTGAGATATGTAATTGAATCATTATTTTAGAAGACTTTATATTTTCTTGACAACTTAGGCTTGCCTTTATTGGCCGTCCTGGGAGAAACGACAATATTATAGTACTTAAACTTTGTTTAATGGCCTAGTCATTAGTTTATTGGCGTAAGTCTTGAAGACTTAATTGTCCATTGTACATGAATCTTTGAATTTGTGAATTTCTAAGACTACTAACTACTAAGATTCATGTGCTCTTGTATCATTGCGATTTAATCAGTCAAGACGACTTACTCACTCTACTACTTTCGGGAGGGTAGTCGACTAGTTTCGAGCTCTAACAGGGGCTCATAAAATCACATGTTTGTTTGTAATCGGAGGCTATACTTAACCCATAATATTATTGTTACGCCATTGTTATGAAACATATTTAGACCATAAGTAAAATAAATAATGTAGTACATTAGAATAGTAGTATTTCAAAAGTACAATATTAATACAATAACCAACATTTGATGTCTAAAATATTGACTATATTTTATCTTTCAGAATAGGTATATAAGACCACTATTTGTGTATTCCCGTGGTCTACATAACCAGTATCTAGTCACAAATGAAAATAATGGCACACGAGAAATAACTCTTAACCATGAGAAAACAAAGTTTGTATTCAACAATAATAATGTATTCTTAATAGTAATTTCAAGATAATAAGACTTTAAGCATTTTATGATATTTTTGTGTAGAAACTCGCTGTCTTTGGAAATGATGAGTAATCTTATTGAAGCTATTAATTCGAACAAGGATGATAAATCGTTGAGGGCCATAGTTCTAAGTGCTAAAGGGAATGTGTTTTCTGCTGGTCATAATTTGAAAGAATTGGTAAGTTCGTTAAGAGATAGCTCTCTTTACTGTCCTCATTTGTATTTGTGTAAGATTTTATGGATTTGCAAAATATCTCAGACATTTCAATGAGATAAAAAATAGGTTGTCATTAAGTATTGAATACCTAAAATATAGAAGTTATCTATAGTAAAGTACCTACCTAAGAAATGAGGTTTCAAATCATAAAATTAGAATAAGTACGTATTTAAAATAATTAATCGGTGTTCTCAATTTGTAGCAGGCTAACACAGGTGTAGATCAACATAAACTGATATTTAGTAAAGCGAGCGAGTTGATGAAGTCTATAATACAGAGTCCTGTACCAGTTATTGCTAAGGTATAACAAAATTATAATAGACTATACTAATCCATTAATATTGTATGTCTAATAACTATGTGTTTATTCATTTAAGTACTAATAAAGCTCATTAGCACCAAAATCTTACAAGTCTTATTTTCGGTGACCCATAATGCATTTTTACACTAACAACATTACGTTCAAATACTTAAATGCCACTTAATTTAAAGTCGCACGTATGCCTAGTTCTGTCTCTACAAATTCTTTGTGAAATGACAGAGATGGCACAATATTTAGTACAACTTGAGTAGCATTTCAGTATTCGGGCGTAAAGGTTATTTTGAGTTGGCGGTTTTATTCAAATAAACTCTTGGTAATAAAATACTCACCTTATAATAACATCCCTGTGTTTGTATGCGTACCTATTCATATGTTTATTTCCTGTGGTGCTTGTTTCTAAGTTCTAACATACCTAGGTACCTAGAATTAAAAGTACATAGAACCTGCTAAATTAATGCATGGCCCTAAACAATTTATAAAGTGCACTTTTATCTCATGTATTATAGTTTGCGCTTTTCTTTGCTTGTATGTATTTTTCACATAAACATCACACCTAGTACTTAATGCTTACCTAAGATCATTGGTTGTTGGAACCATTTCATTTCATAATTTTTTTTATAAATAACAATTCGTTTTCATTAAATATTTTGCTAGGTAAATGGCTTCGCTACGGCAGCAGGCTGCCAGTTAGTCGCCACCTGCGACATGATTGTATGTTCAGACACGAGCAAATTCTCCACACCTGGGTAAACAACTGATTATAAACTTTATAACTAACATTATAAAGTTTATTTTTTATAACTATTCCATTATTTCAGAGCTAACTTTGGCATATTTTGCTCAACACCTGGGATAGCTGTAGGACGATGTGTACCCAAATCTAGGGCTACATATATGCTTTTTACAGGTACCAAAATAATCTTTTTTTTAAGATTAACGATGGAGTCTCTTGCTTGTTCTTTTACATTCGAAACTACACTTAGGAACGAGCGCCTAGCTTCATTGACAGACAGACAGATGGACAATTAAATTTATGATGTTTCAAAAGTTCCTAATTAAGGATTATTTGAAATAAATGACTTTATCATTTTTTATAGCTGGTTATTGAAATGTACTGAAGAAATCTGGAAATATCATATCGCTATCAATGTCATTTCACGCTGTATTTAACGACAACATGCTTAGGAATAAGTCTCCACGTTGTAAAGTGGTACCTAGGTATTGACGTGAAAGAACAATCTTCTTAAACAGTTAAACATGCGGCGATTGTTTTTTTTAGTTTTTTGATAAGTAGCAATAAATTGTGGTTCAAGTACCAACCCAATTATGTAATTTCAATATTTCAGGTGAACCGATAACTGCTCAAGAAGCCTATGAAAGTGGACTCGTCACGAAAGTAGTTCCAGCAAGCCAATTAGACGACGAAGTTAACAAAATTATTGAGAAAATCAAACACAAAAGTCGAAGCGTTATCGCTCTTGGCAAAGAATTCTTTTACAAACAAATTGACTTAAGTCTGATGGATGCTTACAAGCTGGGAGAGGATATTATGGTTCAGAATATTAACTCTAATGATGGGCAAGAAGGTATCAAGAGTTTTGTTGAAAAAAGAAAAGCAGTTTGGACTCACGAATAACGGTTATCGCGAATGTTCGAGAATAGTGTTAATTACTTACACATTCATGTGTTTATCTATATAATGGCACTGATAAAGACCGTTGTAGGTTTTATTTTACAAGAAAACATTTTTAATTTAGTTTGGATAGTGGAAAAAGCAAGTTGATAACGAAGTACTTGAGTACTTTGTAAGTAACTTTTAAAAATAATACTGGAAGACAAAATATTAACAGAATGAAAAGACAATTTTATTTACACCTAACCTTTATTTGCCACTATAGTAATATACTTTAACAAAACTTGCAAAGCATAAATTATAATGTTAAAGCATACAACATGACATGACACAGGACATTATAATATTTTTGGCCGATTCATCTTACATTATTTACATAATATGTATTGTAACATTTAACTTTAATAAATCAAGATGGATCACATTAAAATGTTAGTATCTGTTATAATATTCAGTGCACACATATTTCACAAATACAAAACTTGTATTAATTAATAAACTTATTCACTAAAAGAATTTTTTTTTTTAAACATTAATGATAAATACATCTAAAGTTAATATAGAATAATAATTTATGTTTACATGCTCTGCTGGATTCTCCAAAGTAAATGGTTCATTATTGTCAGTGACACTTGGTAGTTGTGCAAGCTATGTTGAAATATTGAAACTCCTTCAGTTTATTTCACTAGTTAGTATCTACTTATAGACAGAACAACTCTTAAAATTTAGTATAGACAAGAGTGGGATTATTACAAACATTACGAATACTACTATTATTGCATCATTTCATTACATTTCAACGTTGTGAGAATATAATCAACATACTCCCATTAATACTTTAATATATCAAACATAAGATTTATGTGAAAATCTACTCTACAGATATAATAGGAAACTGATGAAACTATATTTTGAATAATTATATGGACCATTAAATAACTATATGGGGCCGTTTTCACAATATCATTTATATATATAACTAGCTAAATTATAAATAAACAGCTTCGGCAAAACATTGTGAAAAGAGCCTTCAGCCTAGTAGTAGTAAAAAGACATTACTTGTATAATTACATAAAATTTTCATAGTCTTTTAGGTATTTGTAGAATGAACAACGATCACATTGTTGAAAGTTGTCAGTCATTACGGGAATGTTTGTAGTCTGTTCCCAGTGACCGTTTGCCAAAATGGTTCTCACTTCTTCGCTAGCTCGTTAGAGAGCCAGTCTAGACCTTCATACAGCCCCTGTCCTTGTGTTGCACATGTGGCTTGGATGTACCACTGTGGACGAAGTAATACCATTAGCTACTACACTAACTACAATAATGTTATCAAATTGTAAGTGAATATTATTGTACTAGTTATACTTACGCGGCGATTTCTCAAATTGTTTAGGTTGAGAGCATTAGTAAGTTCAGCTGCTGTCATAGCATTGGGCATATCCTGTTTGTTGGCAAACACAAGGATCACAGCATCTCTCAATTCATCTTCTTTTAGCTGTGAAGGAAAACATTGTCAGTATAAATGAGTAGTTTTTTTTAAATAACTCCAGGGTCTACCTGAAGAGCCAATAAAAAAAAATGATTCTTATAAGAATTTTTGATTTCTATAAATTTAAATGCAATACCTGATGCAACTTGGCATACATAAAAAACAAAATTCTAAGGCACAAAACAGGTTATACTAGTTATTTTAAGAATATCTAGATATCAATAAGAACAATACTTAGTCTATGCTTACCATATTAGCCAGCTCATTTTCGGCTTCTGCTATTCTCTTTGTGTCACTTGAATCCACGACGAAGATCAGTCCCTGTGTGTTCTGGTAGTAGTGACGCCACAGTGGCCTGATCTTGTCCTGACCGCCGACGTCCCATACAGTAAAACTAATGTTTTTGTATTCTACTGTTTCCACGTTGAAACCGATCGTCGGTATTGTGGTCACAATCTCTCCCAACTTAAGTTTATATAGTATAGTTGTTTTTCCAGCGGCATCCAGTCCAACTGCAACAATATCTCTTGCATTAATCTATCAAGAAATTATCGGTACAAGAAAACAATGACGATGTCATAAAAATGTATAGAAATTCTACGCAATCCAAGACCGATGAGCTGTCATGTCACTTACCCATAAGGATACGCATTTGTTTTTTGCCGAAAAGCTTAGTAAAAACACTTGAGATTGTTAAGCCCATTGTGGATTTTGGTATCAGATGTTATTATCAACTATTTAAAAAACCAAATTGCTAGATTTAAAATGAAAAAACACAAATTCTAGAGAAATACTGAGTGATGACCATACGCACGTCAACGTTTCCAATTTTTTTCTTTGCTAAGTAGTGACGTACCGCTTTTTATTTTTTGCGTTTAGTTTTACTGTATCGGGGATTACTAAATTTTATTTTTCTTATATTTATTCTTTTATTTGACTCTCATTTATTAGTAGAACGTATACAAGATCTGATTTCCAATATCTTCTTAAAATATGTAAAGATGAAGAGATGAAACAATATGGTTATAGGTTCCTAGTAATGTTTTTTATTATTTTTAGTGTGTAATAATAGTAGATGTAATAAGGATAAAAAATGAAATTAGTTCCTAAAATCAAAGTTATGAAAATTACAACATTACGATTAAATAAATAAAGTTTTCTCATTAGATACCATTTTTATTCGGGGAACATAATTTAATAAAATTTAAATAAAATTAATAATAACTATTACTAAATTAAATATTATATAGAACATAAGATAAAAATTAATTAAATTCTTATTAGATATTTTATTCCACGTAAGAACTCTCAAAAAGTCAAGAGCAGTCCTATTAGAATTATTTGTTTATGGTTTGTGTTTGACATTTACCTTGCCGTGTTTGACATTCAATTTTTGACAGAAACCAATAGGAATCCAAATAGAGTTTTGCTGTCATGCGTCGTCATAGAAACGATTTATTTTAGAAACTTTTCATTTTTTTTGGCCGGAATCGACATGGAGATTTACGAAGGTGAGTCTTATAAAATATAATTTAATTGATATCCGATTTTCACATATCCCCTAGTAGTGTAATAAGAGCGCGATTATTCAAAAACGTGTAAAATTAAAACAGGTTCTCAGCGAAGGTCCTTTTAGAAAATTCTGATTTTGTGATGACTTGACGCTGCCTACATACATCCAAAACGGAGCATTATTTTCTAATATTTCATGTCGTAGAATGATGCATAGCCAATGTAACTTAAACTTCTCACAGAAATAAATTAGTCCGGTACTCCTTAAAAATATTTTGTTAAAGTACACCACCCACTGCGCCTAATGGAATAAATATTCAATAAGTATGTTTTGCCATTATAAAGACCTTCAGCTTGTGGTTTAGGTAGGTGCGGCTATGTATCTGTAGGAGAATATAATATATTCACTTACTTTAATCGTAATAATCATGGATGTGATAAATTGAAAGTATGAGTTTGAAATATCTAGTGCCGAAGTATTTTATAAATTACTTGGTTCCATCATTCTAACAGCTTTCCTCATCATTTTTAGATTCTGCAGATTTCTATGTGTTGAACGAACGGGGTTTTCCTTATAATAAAAGTGATCAAAATAAAATAAAATAACCATTCATAACTTGACCGTAGACCGTAGTTGAACTTCGGGTCACGTTTTGCATCTTCTACTCCGCGAATCATGTTCACCTTGCAACCACGAGCACCTCGGAGATTAATGACGATAAACGGCATTCATGTGTTTCGACGCAATTATAAATCCGCAAAGTAGCAGTAGTAAAAAAGGGTCTCGTTCTGTTGCCGTTTTTACGTTTCTTCAATTTCCGCTTATATGTACATATTCTAAGAACGGTTGTTCCACGTAGGTACTGATAAAATCTTTTCAGAATCATACCTATACTCATATATTAATGGCGTGCAAACTTAAAACATCTGAAACTTTCGTTTTGTATCAAGAGTCGAAAAGCGGCGAACGTTTACTCGGGAATTTGTGAAGATGCAATAAACAATAGCCACTGAAACAAAGAGAAGGTTCTTGATCTTTCGCTCTTGTAGATATTAGAATTCGGTCCTGTTTCGGAGTTCTAGAGCAGGTCCACACATTCTCCTTCCCAACTTTTCCCAATACCCATTACATACTCGTAAATACATACAATAACAATTTATTGTATCCATTCTTTCAATTGGACTCAATTACGTAAACTTTTAGAATAGCAATCGACAGACTTAGCATAACACAACATGACGACAAATTGCGTAGAGTTAACACTTGTACTAAGCACCGTGGAATAAACCTACATTGTTCTCTCACAGTATAAGGTGAACAAAACAAATATGGCTAGTCTATGTTTTATCGCTCACGGTTTCTATGGACAGCAAATATGCAATAGCGCGCAATAGGCCACATTACGTCATGTGTACAATACCGATCGCACTTAGACATCTCTAATTAAGCTTGTAGGTACAATCCACTTGTTGTATCGCTCGGATCGGATACGAGTTTTTGTCGTTTCTTAATTAATTTGTTAGATGCGAACTTTAATACAATGGAGATCATCGCAACTTCGCAAGTTGTAAGATAAAACCAAAATATGTGACGTGATGTGAATAGTTTCATAAATCTGTCCAATATTTGATATCCACTCGTGGTCATTGGCAAGTGAACAGAGATCATCGAAGAACTAGGCTTTTATAGAACCTAGAGTTAGTTCATCATCGTTATCAGCCGCAACTGCTGTAAGGCTGTACAAATACCCTCCCTTTGGACTTTGTATACTCTGAACAAATCCCCAACCATTCATTTTAAAGAAGATTGGACTAAATATTCAGCCCACATTTAACTTATATCTACTAACAATTTCGAATAGCGAATAAGAACCGCTTCTCATGTTATTCTTGCGGTCGGCTAACAGCTAATGTTCTACTTTGAAAAGTCTAGGATTTCAGTCTCGTACTTCTTATAACTACACAAGTAATCTAATAACCAAATAGACATGTGAACATATAATTTTAAACGTATTAGTTATTTTTTGCTTCTCAAATGTCACACGGAATAGGTTCCTATTCCAATTTCCGTTACTATATTAAATTACGTGACTGCGCAATAAATATTAGTTTGTATGTATTTTG